AATGGTGTATTATTATTAAAAACTACAGTTTTTGAATTACGTGTGCATGTAAGTGATACAGTAATTGTGTTTTTTTATCTTTGAATAGGATCTCTCATTAGAAACATTTAATCATCCAGAAGACTTGTTTAGTGCTGTCTTTGGTTATACTGTATGGTAAGAAGAGCGAGGATTTTTCATTATTTGAAAGCATTGTCATACAGTATTTTGCAAAACTTCTGAATGCTAGCATATATCATGGTGTAACATGGATAATATTGCGTAATTGCTTGCTTTTCTTACTTTTCTACTTCAAAATTATGTTTAATATTTAAGGTAATTAAGAATAATATAAACAGTTTTGTACTTTACAATTATAATATATATATAATTTAAAGGCTTAAATATCAACTACCCTATACTTGATATAGAATTTCAGTGACCACAATAGTCTTCTTCACGGTTCCCTGCGCCATCTTGAAAGGTAGCCGTGCCTTTGCATCGAAGCGAGACGACCGTTGAGCATGCATGCAAAGATAGAGAACTTCTATAACACCTACAGACAATTATTCACAGGTATCTATCATTGCACACTCAACGAGCAAGCTCACTTCGATGTAGAGGCACAGCTACCTTTCAAGATGGCGCAAGAAACGGTGAAGGAGACTATTTCTTCAATTGACTTTATTACAGTTACCATTTGACCTTTTCATTAATAAGATTGTGATGAATTGTGTTGTTTTTTAGGTCTAGATTGATTGTTATTATTGGCATCATGGAGAGACTTGTTCTTAGCTTTTCATTTTTCTTTTTGCTGTGTGTGGCAGAAAGRTCTTATCGAGAGGTAAGAACGAGTTGATTATATATACTGTAGTTCTATTATCGTCAACCTAACAATCAATTGTTTGTTATTTGTAGCGTTGTTTATATGCCAAGCTGTTTGGTTGGCTGACATCATCACGCAAGGCAAGAAGGGCTGGCCTTCCGCACTTCAGGYTGCATAAAGTTCGTAATATTAAAACTTGGTTATCGCTACGTTCACTGTTAAAGGTATTTTACTTTGAAGTCTTAAAAGCTCTCTGGTTGTTTTGGATTGCTCTATGAAGTTTGAAACCATTTGAAATCCAAAGTTTCCTTGAAAAAAATACCCTGTCAAGGTTAATTCAAACAAAGGCCAACAACCCTGCAAATATGTTTTTTGTTTCCTAGCGACGTGGTCCACARAGATCTGTAGATATGATAGTTTCATCGTCCTTTCTTCTKGGCATAGCTTTAGTGATTGTCATGTGTGCACAGGTAAAAATTCATATGAAAGGATACTAAATAACTAAGAAAATATAAGAAAAGTATCTTCCACATGGCTTCAATGTTATGGCATAGTTATGTTGACAGAAATGGCTTGTGGGAAGGGATACAGGAATCCCAATCATTGCAAACACAAAAGTAGCTGCAGAGAACAAATTATTTCAATTTTAATTTTAAGCAAATTGTTTTCTTCAATCTGTTATAGCTTTTAAAGGGTACAGAGAAAGAAAGATTCCCATCTCTCATGTTCAACTGGGAAGTCTCAGTATGGTAAGACAGTGATTTTGTTATAAGCAGTACTACTTATATGTGCAAAGATTGATGTTTGTTATAAGCAGTACTATTTATATGTGCAAAGATTGATGGGAAAGATTTAGCAAGCTTACATTGCATCAAGGGAAGCCTCTGGAGTTCTTCCCATAAGATGCCCGTTTCAGCAATGCACAAAATGGGATATATTTTAGTAAGGTTTTGAATTTGTATTTCTTGTCTTAGGGGACTTGCTCTCTGCATCTATGTCTTGCGATTCATGACACTTGGTGCAAAGGTGAATCTGAAATACAGAAACACTTCTGTTGTGCTGACAGAGCAGGTAAATGCATCTTTGGCATGGGTACTTATGTTGTTGTTAATATTGCTTTTTGTTGTTATACTAACTTGTATTTTAGATTATATTTATATGTGTCTTTATAAATACATGTTCTACATGTCGTCGCCTAGTCTCCCCCAGCAAGTGGCTTCTGTTATATATCAGACAAGTTCACTGACCAGTATTACACTGAATGTTTTAGCACACAACACTCCTCACAGCTAGTTTTTGACTGAGGGAAGATAACCAGCAGGCACAGAGAAAAATCCCATCACTTAATATATCACTATCACTAATAGTTAACATTAATATTGCAAGTTTTTATTATTTTTTTTTCAGATTAACCTTTATTTACAAATGGAGAAAGCACCACACAAGAAAGAYGACTTAATGATTGCTCATAATGTATTAAAGTTGGCTGCAAAATTATTAAAGGTATTTTCTTTAGAAGTTCTACAGTGTACATAATTGTATTGTGGTCCAGACTCCAAGTTTGTTTTCTATTGTCTAATCAAGACTCCAATGTCCCTTCCAGGTTCCTTTTTTATCCCTCTGTTGTCCTTTTTCCTGTTCTACCCATCTTTTCATTCTATATTCACATTTTCATTCCCTCCCATCCTCCTCCTTCACTTGCTTCACTTGTCTATCTTTCCTTCCATCTTTTATCTATTCTTTMTTTCCTTCACATATTTCTTTCYTTCCTTCTTTTGTTGTTCCTGCTTTATTTCATTTCCCTTTTTCCTCAATTCAGGGTTCATACAAACTTGAAATTCATGGACAGTTCTCACTAAATAATACAAAACTTCTTTTAATTTACTTATTCCAGGAAATAGAAAGTCCGTCCAAGTTGTCAGGGTTGTCGATGAACCCTCTCCTGTACAATATCACAAGGGTTGTCGTCTTATCTCTTTTCTCTGGTGTGATGTCWGATTTGTTGGGATTCAGATTAAAGGTAAGTTAACACCCCTACAGGRATACTTACACCCCCACCCCCATGGTGTTCTCACACCCCCACGGGGCTACTTACACCCCCACCCCCATGGGGTACTCACACCCCCACAGGGGTACTCATACTTCAGTGGTGCACTCTCTTCCAAAGGTGCTCTCTCAAATCTTGTATAAAATTTGATTTGAACACACTTGCTTCTGTCTATCACATTAGAATAGTTAGATCCATTGTTAATATTTTTCAGAAAACAATGATCAAACCTACCTTATTCAAATGCCCGATTCTGTTTTAAATTGTAGGTGTGGAAAATCAGAGCGTGACTACGCAAACAGATATTATTAAAATATAGATATAAAATATATATTTACATGTAATATATTATTGTGCATGAGATTCAAACTAAGAACCCCGACCAGAGGGTAAAAACCTTCATATTTTTAAAGCAATATTTATAGAAAGACTCAGTCATTATCATTTTGATGTATATTCACTATTTTTCTCTATGGATACGGAACAAAGAACTGAATTATTACTATATTTTTTTTTCTGTTCACTGTTATAGAAGTTTACTGTTATGTGTCAGTGTTTATTTATACAAAAARCCCTCAAGAAACCTGTTTAGAAACCTTTCAGCCATCAAATGGGGTCTTGCTCCAACATAAACCAAAAGAATTCCATTTTAGCATCTGCTATAAACAAGAATTTACACTCCTGTAATATTCCTTGTGAATTTTTGATAGGCAAATTAGAGCTTCCGGCCTTGTGTCCTATTTTGATATGTCAAAAAAGACAAAAAGTGATAACTGTATGTCCCGTTATCATGCCACTGTAAAGGCCCGTTTACACTTGCGATTATTGCAGCGCGATTGTTGCGTGACAATCACCTGAGTTTCGAACATGCTTGAAATTTAACTGCAACTCGTGGCGATTTTCGATCGATGTGACAATCGCAGGGCTGTTTACAAGTACGATTTGAGGTACGTGAGAACAAAGTGGCGATTGTTGTGCCACAATCTCGCTACAAAAATCACGCGCTACAAAAAAGTGTAAATGGGCCTTAAAACTATTGTAGTTATTTTGTTTATTTGAATGTGAGGTATTATTTTTTACATGTACTAGTTTATATCACTGCATAGAATGCCCAATGTGAAAACTGATGGCGCTTCACCTTTGAAGAAAATATTAAAATGTTCTTGCCCTATTTTTTCAATTGTATTTATTTTAAGATTTTATTATCCTGTTCTCTGGTTGTTATGCTATAGAAACTATTGTTGCCATGGTAAAGTTAGGCATTGTTAATTGTTTGTCATAGTAACTATTACTATTGTTGCCATAGTAATGGTCACTTTTTGTTGCTAAGGTACATTATGGTTGCTAAGATACAAAAAAATGTCCAGTTTGTGATTTTTTAAATATTTTAATGACAAATTTGAATTTAAACAACACTTTAAAAAGTCTTTAACTTAAATTTAACAAATAAATTATAAGAATTTTCCAATTAAATAGTTAAATTATTGATAATTAATTAAAATTTTATCYATGCTGTATGCATGAGACCTAAAAAAACCTAAGACAGGGGGGTTTAGGATGCATAAAAAATGGTAATTTGCACATCAAATGTGTCTATTTTGTTGTCATTTCTCTAAGCATGCACCCTCCTTTTCTAACAATCTTACATGTAGGAGAATATCCTGTACTTTCCTTCATAAAAATCTACAAAAGATCGAAGCCCAAATCTACAAAAGAAGCCCTCAGTTAAACCTGAGAAAGCAATTATCTTTTATGGACAAGAAACCCATTTTCTCATTTTGTACAGTCCTTTCTGAACCATTGTGATTTCACTTAAACCGTGGAACTGTACAAAATCTAAGTAGTACTAATTTGTACTAAAAGTGCACCTGAAGCAAGACGGTATTGAATGCTTCATTTGTATCAATTTAATTTAATTTGTGTACCACATGCACAATTTACTAAATACAACTAAATAGCATTATATTTAGTTTGTACAGTTGCACAGATTAAGTGCGATCACTCTGATATATTTCTTAAAATTATTTCATACTTTACTTTCGAATTGTTACTTTTTTGTTTGCTTTATGATAAAAGTAATGAAAACTGAAGCAGCAAGTACTGTGTTTCCAGAAGTGTTGTGGACTAAGTATTTGCTGTAAAAAATAAAATGCTTGAAAGACTTTGTCATGCAGTTGCAAACCAAAAATCTATTAGATTTTAAAAAGGTCAAGACGCAGAGAACATCCAGCACTAAGATCAAGTTCCCCAAAGTCAACTTTTCCAATTCCTATCAAACGATTCCTGAACCCACGGTCACTTTTGACAGCACACTCAAGTTGTCGATTTGCAAGCATGTCAAGACCGATGCCATGCTCAAATGTCTCACGGTACTCGCCATCATAAGAACCTCTTATAATCTTGGTGACACGTCTCGTTTTCTTGGATCTATCCGGTAACAGGTATAACCGGACAAACGGGTTAGTCTTGTTTTCAGGGTCAYGTGACCTCAGGTGCTTGACCCCTATCACCTTGGTAACAAGGCAGTTTCTTCTGTGGTCATACTTCAAGTGTAGCTCCAGTTCCCCTCGGCTCGATAAGTCCTCAAGGGACTGGTCACCAAAGCTGGCCTCATCGTAGACACTTGCTCGGTCGGATCCAGTCTCTCTCCTTTCCCTTTTAATSACAGGATCCTGTCCRTCATTTATGACAAGGGTCGGGATATTAGAAGGTGGTTTGCTAGAGAAAAGATAAGGATGACAAATGATCTTAGTATGTACAGTGTAAGWAGGATATAGTTTTATGATATTATGATTTTGGAAAAGTTTTCTACATTAATATCATTGACGCTGCATCTTTAGAAATATGCAAGAATGTTGTGAGGAAAAAACGTCTTTTGAAATGCATGGATACCAATTGATAACAAGCTAGTTTTTTGTATGARAAMGTATGCACAAAAATCATAATTAAGCCAACAGACAACATTGTATACGAAATTTATTGCCAAAAGRAATACAAAAATACACTCTACAAAAACTTAATACAAAAATATATTTTCACAAATTAGGAAGTGCAGTGCAAGATATAATTATTTACCCGTGAAACAATTACTAAGCTTATTCCATGTAAGAAATGATAATTTCTTCTAATGTTTGCGACAACTGGACAAAATCAAGGGGTAACTACTCGTTGTAATATTATAAGTGTGATGTGTACATTTGCCTATTTCAATTCTCTTTCGATTGTGCAAAATTTGTTTCACAGGTTTTATTGCAATGTGCAGCTATAAGGTTAGTATCGGTTGCATACGCAACTAACTAAATACATTACAGTAGTTATGTAAGGTTTGCAATTCAGCAAGCGATAGCTAAACAATGCTATTTAAATATAACTGAACATAAAATAACAAGCAATAATATGCTAGCCAAATGTGAATGCAACAACTTTGGCCAAAATACATTCAAAATAATGAGTACATTGTAACATGCAAAACTTAATGGTTCAATGCAATGATAAATGCATTGTTGAACTACAAAAATATTCTGATACAAAATTCTTTCTAACTTGGTCATCRGTTCAATTATCATTACAAACACATGTACAATCCTCACATCAAGTTGTAAACTTACTTGTAAACTTACAGTAAGGTTAAATCTACCTTGWGAATGACCATAAACTTTGAAATATTATTTATAGAATTCAATACAAATCCTTTATCAAATGTTCATTATTATAGTTATTACTTAATATTAATAAATACTTATAATAGTGTATTTCAGTGCAAACAAAATTCTTTGAGTGGGTTGACAGTAAGAGTAATGTATAGCCTTTGCTATAAAAAGATCTAAAAGCACATAAAGTACTTTAAAATTCAATTTTTGCTCTGTAGTCAACCTTACAGATTTTCTGTTTGCACTATTTAGTAATTAATGTTAACTTATTTGTTACAAAAATATTTTTGAACACAAAAAAACATAGTTTATACAAACAGTTCCTTCTGTTGTCTTTACCTCTCTGTTTCTGTTGCTATGGCAGCATCAACATCGTCGGCCRTGGCAACTGATTTTGCTCCAGGTTTACCCATGATCCTTAGAGTGAATCGGCAGGTTAGAGTGCTCTTTTCCCCAGACTCCATAAGGACAAAGGTCTTCTCTTCCTGCATTCCTCGCTTTTGYAGCAAATCTTTGACACTGTATGTCATGTGACCAAGCGWGCGGTTTCCTTTGCATTCAATGACTTTAATCTTGGCTTCATTTGTTTYGKGATTCTTGACAAGAAACCGAAGTCCTTGGTTCCATTCCGTCTTTTCCCCATAKGAGACAAAGGTGTTKAGCTTKGTGTTGACAACAGCAACTTCACAGAAGATGCTATTGAGCTGTGGTTTCTTGTTGGATGGAAGTTGATTTGCTTTGATGACCTTAACAAACAAAGCTGCAACAGAGTCCTCTGGGTTTTCAGTCTGCTGAAGATGGGTGGGGTTGTTGGTCAGGGGGTGCCATGACAGCTGAAGGTGCACACGGCCAGACTTAACGCCCTCTAGTGGTAGCCATATGTCATGCTGGCCTTGCTCAACGGCACTAGCAATGGATGTCTCAAGGTAACCAATCTGAGTGTCCTTACTTGATGTGTCTTCATCCCAGATCGTCATTTCAATTGCCTGACCTTCACAGTTATCAACAAATGCCTCGTAAGTCTCATTCCAAACTGGGTCTAGATTGTTCTTGATGATCTTGCTGCGGAATCTCTGYGCACCAACCTCTAATATAGCATAAGGGTCAGACTTCCCCCTGCTTCCAATCCCRAAATCCTTTGCAACCAGGTCTCTCGCTTCTACTAGTTTTACTCGAAGAATACCCTCTGGAATTGGGTACTGCAGGTCGCTTCCATCAACACCTTCAGCRAGTGGAATGGCAATCCGRTTAGGAAGMACYACAAATGATGCAATGGTGTCGTTGACAATGCTTCGAAGGCTGCTCTTAAGACCAGGAAGGTCCAGGACATTGAGGAGATTTGTGAGATCAAATTTAGTTTTTGGYCTGTTGAGGAAAAACACGGTGACTCCACCAATAGGATTGTACTCTGACACMATTGGCTTAAAAATCACGCGCAGTACTCCGTGCAATCTGAAATTATTCAGGCCTAATTTSACATTTTTAACTGCTAATTTGACTTGGAAGTCTCCGTCGTATTTGATGTCGAGGTCCATAATATAACATCCTTTCTTGTCTGTCTGGTCGTAAGAGGACACGCTTTTKATCAAGGGAGGCTTGTTGCCCAGGGTGATCTTATCGAAGTACAAAGTGCTGAGCGCTTTAGGAAGATTTTTTTGCATCTCTGGTTCTACAGTATTCTTGAGAATATCGCACACCATGTCACCAACGTAAGGCCACATTTGATATAGCATTTTGTTGATCCATTCAGCGTGCTCTTTATCAGAAAAGTAAACCCAYGAAGGCATGTTTTGGAACTTGTGAACAAACGAGGAAACGTGAGCTTTGGCCAAGTTATCGCGGTGCTTTCTCTTCTTTTCTAAGTCAAATTGCCAGCTTACAAAAACCATCAAAATCATGACGATCCACGCAAAGCTGAAGTGGAAGTGCCCAACCAGCCAGAGCGAGAGAGTAACGATGAAATAGCGCCCATATTCTTTTAATTCATCACGCGTCATGTTACGAGCGTTGCGGTAAATGCGCTCGTAAAATGGTCGTGAAACTTCTTCAATTTCAACAGTTTTTACTTTCTCCGACTGTGCCATGTTTGCTTCCTGCAAAGAAAGAAATAATTACGATTTATAATCGTGTACCAGTAGCATGAAGACAAACAAGTCTCCAATATAACAGTCACACTAGCACCAGAAATATTTGTTAAATTAAACACATTTTGTATCAAYAAAAAAACAAAAATGTGTACAATCAAAGTCATAGCATGCTTGGAAATACAACTACCGTACCTTAAKAGCTTAGAAAGGGAGATTTAGGGCATTAAAATTGAAAGAATCGGAGTCCAAACGAGTTCCACTTCGACCCAGACGCTCCTCGATTSTTCCACGTCAACACATACCGTATTCAAATTGTATTATTGTCACGCATAACTGAAGTCTTTGTTTAGCTGACGAGATCTTAAAAGATCACTTAAGATCACCAATCGAGTTTAGCAGTTTTGGTTGTTTTCTTTTATGTCATGAATTATCAACAGAATKCGTTCTATTTGATTTTGATTTGAGGTTGAAATGAACTTCATTATTATGACTGGCTTCCATTTTACGATATGAAGATATTGTAACAACGGGCGATGATAAGGTGTATAACAAATGCATAATAAATTGAAATACTTCTATGGCCCACAAAAATAAGCAGRACTACTATATATTTCGAATAATCCACGACCGATATCCCAAAAAATACCAAAAATCAGTGTCCATTGAAAATCGCGATTTTGGGGTATTTTTCAATACCATATGGACATTAACCCCTTTTTTCATCAAAATGCATGGACTATAGCCCACCAAAATCGTCAA